CCCGCACTAGCCCCACCCCTAGAGACCTCAGTGGGTGCTCTACCCCCACCCCCAGCCCTATTCTGCCTCCCATCCACCATCTGAGCTCTGCTGCCCAGATGACGGTTGCTCTAAGGCTGCCGTGCCAGGCTCCGTGCAGCCCTCCCACCACTCTGGCGTGTCCGGGAGGAAGCCCTGCCCCTGCCTGGCTCTGGTTGGCTGAGAGGTGGGTCAGGACACTCCTCTCCCAACAGCCGCAGTGGGAGGGGAGGTGCTGGGTGATGTATCCAGCTCTGGCCCCCAGAGCCGACACAGCTCAGCAGCCAGCGGTTTAGGGGTGTGTGGCCTGGTGGTTGGGAACCACTGATCTAGATGGTGTTTGGTCCTGCTGAGAGGGCAGGGGACTGGACTTGATGACCTCTTTGAGTAGGGATGTAAGCGACTAGTCAAGTAGTCGACAATCCGATAAGCTAGGTTTATCGAGTAATCAAGTCACTATTCAACTAGTCACTTCTCCCCCCTTTTGCTGCAGGGAAGGCAGAGGTGCAGCAGGGGCCTGGGCGTAAGCTGGGACTCAGCTGTTGCATCTCGAGCCTGGTTCCAGATGCTGGGCAGCTCTTACTATATTTAACAGGCAGAGCCACAGTGGAGTTAGCTCCAGGGGCTGGGAGCTAATCCTGCTGTGGCTCTGCAGTCCCCCCCTTTATCGACTAATCAAGTAGTCAATGGAAATTCCGTCGACTACTGGATTAGCTGATTAACGTCCTTACTCTTCAGGTCCTTTCCAGTTCTGGTGTTCTGTGATTCTAAGATTGCTGCATAACCTGGGCACTGGCAGCGCAAACTTTCCTTCCAGGCCCTGCCTTCAAGTCTGAACCCCAACTTGGAGGGACCACCTCTCGGGGCGAGGGATTCGTTGCCTCAGCTTTTGACATCTTTGCCTCCTTCCCTTATGTTGAGGCTTCAGGCAACGCTTTCACTTAGTGTGGACGTGGCTTGTGGCTTTGCTGCTGTGGCACCAGAGACTGGATGGACATCACCTCCTCATTTCACGTAAGACACTGAAAACACATGAGATACTAAGGATTGTTGGTAACGGCCATTTTGGGACAGGATTTGAACCAGTGAAATAAATATTGTCCGTAATCCTTGCTCTTCTCTCTCAAGCCATCCAGTTTTCTCTCTCTTTCTGTAGAATACTAATATTAGATTCTAACCCTAATTCCCACACAATGAAAGATACACTTGCTATTATTGATTTATTACTAATACTTATGGAAATGCATGTCATATGACTGCATCATGAACTATTTGTGCTGTGAACAGATAACTCATTTGAAAGGTTATCTCGGGCTAACATCGTCTATCTATTGTGTTTTGAAAAGGTCTTTCTCCTCTATATAAGACTACGTTCTTAGGGAAAATTAAGCATTGTAATTGGTGAAAGTTCCCTCTATTGTTAAGCTAAGCCAGCCATCGGCAACTGATTTGCATTTTATTCCATGCAGCAGGAAATATTTAAGTTGACAAATAGCATATTTAATACAGCAACAGATACTTGGCAGTTAGTTATTAACAACTGGTACAGATGTGATTTATTTGCTGTTATGAAAAGGGCATTACTGTGTGAATGCGATGCAGAAATTAGCTCTAGTTTAGCAAGAGGCCGTGGCTGCCTGACCTCTTAATATCCTTCTAATGATGTCATTTACCACTCAAAGGCTTATTCCAGGCACTCGAGTCACTCCCTGCTAGACTGCTTAAAGGAGTCCACTCTGGGGCCGATATTTGATGCATTTTGAGGTATCTGAATGTAGGGGCAGGCACTGGATTTCGGTGCTAGTCTACACTAGAAATGCTGCAAGGGCGCAGCTGTACCGACGTAGCTGTGCCGCTGCAGTCCTGCTCGTGCCCAGCACTCCATGACAGTGGGCAAGAGCTCTCCTGTCGGCATCATTTCTCCACTGTCCACCCCGGTGCATAGGTTGGTGTCATTCATGTCACTTGGGGAGTGGTTTTTCACAGGTGTAGCTTTTATCCTTTGCCCGGGTGCTCCCTTGGGCTCCAGCCCGCATTCTCCATGTCAGGTCTGAGGCTTCCAAGAGCTGCAGCTGGGACAAGAGGCCCAAATCTTCCTGAAAATAGTTACACTGTAGTTTCCTACCGAGAAAGTGTATTGCTGTTATTCTCAGCCCCGAAGGACTTCATCCATGCGCCACAGGAAACTTGTCCCTAAGCCGAGGACTTGGAAGACCTCAGGTCAGGTCCCCGCTGAGCCAGACGTCTTCCGTGAACTGGAGTGTGTATCTCTGGGGCTTAGTTCGCCACCTGTAAAATGGGGGCGCCCCGCACTGCCCTCCCTTGTAGAGGTGCTGTGAGGATGAGCCCATGAAAGATTGTGAGTCACTCCAGTGCCATGACGAGGGGGTCTCGCACTTGGGGTGCAGGCCGGTGAGAGGGCACAGCTGGTATTATTGCCCCGAGTGCCTCCACATGCGTCTGCCGGCATGCACCCTTCTGTGCTGCAACCAGCATACCTCTGGCTCCACCACTTCGCTTCCAGCGGCCAGCTGCTGGTTGTCCCAGACGCACTCTTGGCTCTAGCAGGCTTGGTTACTATTTGCAGGGCACCTGTCCCGTACTTTCCCTCACCCGTCTGCTCTGCAAAGTCCAGGCCTTTCCTGTAATAGTTAGAGGAATAAGAAGATCCATTTGTTCCTTTAAAATAGGGATGTTAACAGTTAACCGGTTACCCAATAAGCATCACTCTTCATGGGTGATGCTTACCAGGGAGTGGTTAACTGGTACCCTGGGAGCAGCCCCCCGCCTGCCCACCAGGTTCCCATGTGGGGCTGAGAGCTATCAGGCTGGAGCAGCCCCTGCCTATGGTGGGGGGCTGCTCCAGCCCAGCCTCAGCAGGTGGGGGAGGCCCTCTTCAGCTTCCCCACCCCCATTTAATCAGTTAATTGGTAGGCCCTCTTCAGCTTCACCACCCCCATTTAATCAGTTAATCTGTTAAACTTAACGTTTAACTGGATAACTACTTAAACAGGATATTACATCCCTACGTTAAAGGACAAATCCAACAGCTTGCCACATTAACTGGAGCTAACGTTCATTTTAATCGCAGCACTCTTGGTTTAGACAGAGTAAAAATAAAATAAGTTTATTAATGAATAAAATAGGACTTCACGTGAATTTAGGTACAAGTTAGAAATGCCGACAAGCAAATAAAAGTGAAAAAATCTTAGTGTAAAACTTAAGCTAGCAAGGGGGGGCCTTATTCAACTTGTTGTTTTCCAAAAGGAAAAAAAAATCAACAGCACTTGGGGCTTCTGGAGGAGATCCTCACCACAATGGGGGATCACGCAGGGGGATTTTGCTACACACATTTCACCATGATGTTCCTGACCAGTGAGTTAATAGTTCCACACTAACGTCGTTGACACTCGTAGGAATGTTGCATTATAAGTCCTCCATTCCCCCCGTTACGTCGTGCAAAAAAAAGACCAATTATGCAAACGGAAGTCAGCCACAGGAAAAAAAAATTCCCCGCTTTCACTGTACGTTCACGTTTTTGGGAACGTATCTTGGACATGTACGTCCACGTTTTTGGGAACGTATCTTGGACATATAGCGGGAATGCCCTGTAAACACGCAGCTTATTTCATATTCCTTGTAACTTGGACTTTTATAGATAGGCTTTGGCATCAAAAGCCAAAGTTTCAGGGAACCTACAGGTCTGTATCTTGTAAGACAGTGGCTTTAGCGATTCACATAAAGCTTGAGGCCGATGGACCTTGGCCCAGAAGAACTTGAGTAACCCCTAAGTGATGAGGAACTGGAAGTAGGCTATCGGGGGAGTTTTGTGCACATGACGTCAGCTGACCACAGAACATGAGCTGACACCAACATCTGGAAGGTTCTGGCTGGAACATCTCACTACAGATGTGCTGTGGCAACACACGGATGTGTATGATAATGGGGTGAAATCATAAATATACTAACCTATAGGAAAAAGACACCTTAGCATTGGTACGGGGAGGAAGTACAAATAAGGAAGAAGGGAAAATCCCCTATTGAATATGCATTCGACATGGTAATGTCAGTTGTAACGTATTATAAAAGTGGCATCCCTGGGCAGCAAGAGGAGAAATGTAGCCCTCGGGAGGGGCCAGGATGATGGCCACTGGTGAAGATGAGGAAGGGGATGGTGAGAATGAAGAGAATGACTGACATTTCAGGGTGTTGTGCAAGGGAGGGTGTAAGTGCGGCTGTTCAAATGTACTTATCTCGATCTGCCTTCCTGAGTGAGTGTGGTAACTATCCTAAGCGTGTAAGTACATTATTTATTTGTAAATATAAGAGGCCCTACAGTGTGAGTGTTGCACCTGTGCACATCGCGGTCCCAGCCACAGAATAAGTGTAATTATAAATTAACTGGGTCTGATCTTGGACTAAGAACCTGCCACCCCTCAGAGTGATAAATGGGCATCTTTGGATCAGGCTACAATTGCTAAACACCATCACTAAACTCATGCAGTGACTAATGCATATTTTATATACAAATAACATTGCTCTGTATGCTACACTGTCCCTTTCACTCATAACGTCCCTTTGTTCTTCAGGCCCTCTTGGTTTATTTATTTGTTTGTTTGTTTGTACGTAGGTTGTTTTTAACTGTGGAAAGTCTTTCAGGGAGAAAATCCCAGTTTACATTTTGAGTTTTGTTTATGAGTTGCTCCGTCACATAAGCTCGTCTAAATGTCTGTCCTTAATTCCTGCTAAAACCTTTGCAGGGAGCTTGCTATTTTCTTTTTAGTCTGTTACTGAGCCTTTTGCTATTTTAGTGGGCAGCTTTCTAAAATCATGTCACAGTTTGAATTGTTCCAGTTTGGGAATGGTTTCGTTATCTTAGTCAAGTAAGTGACGTTCCAACCTTCACAAACCTGTGGAATCCAAGCTTCATGAAATAAACTTGATGAATTTCACTTTTTTGTTTTGTTTTTCTGTTTTGATAGGTATGGGTAACAGACCTGGATCTTTGTTATAGTGACCAGCTGGCCTTCACTCAGCTCTTGCTGTACGTGACAAATGGCAAGCTGGATGGCTGCTCTAGCCGCTTTGAAGTGCCACTTACTTGGAAGAAAATGAAAAGTCAAAGTGTTCAGAGTGAGGAGGCAGAAACGGTAAGTAATGCTTCATTGACAACAAGGTGAAGTCACTTCAGGTACAAAAGGCTGTTCAGCATCTTCTCATCCAGAAACACTAGTTAATTTGTGGGTCCCAAGGTCTGGGATTTCCATCAACATAACCTGCAGCTTTTCCAGAGTCACTCAGTACCAGCAGGTTAATAACAGAGCAGCTACTTCTTTTGCATTTCAGAAAGGCTAAAAAAACATGTGTTGTCATCACATGAGAACTTACAAGTGCTTGGGGGAACGCTAATTGGCCACATTTTGCACCCATCAATATTGGTTCTATATTACGAGTGCTTGGGGGAACACTAATTGGTCACATTTTGCACCCATCAATATTGGTTCTATTTGTGGCACTAACTTAATGATGACTATTAGGGAATCTCATGCCATTTAATTCTTAAACTTCGTGAGACAAGATAACCAAACAGGTGGTAGAAGAGGTAGGGTAGGGAGAGCAAAACAGTGTCAGAATAGCTAAAAGGAGAAAGGGTTGTCATGGTTCTGTGGCTGAGGTTGGAGACTAAAAGTCAAAATACCTGTGTCCTACTTGCAGCTATGCGACGTCCCATGTTAACTTTGGGAAGATACTTAACAATAACATCTCTGTAAATTAAGCTTCCTCCGTCTGCAAGATAGTGCTAATAATACTGCCCTGCCCCACAGGAATGTTGTGAAGCTAAATAGGTTATGACTCATCAAATGCTTTGAGATCCTCATATGGATGGAGCTATTTGCGTGCAAACTAGGGTTATTTGTTCTTGAATTTTTAAAATTTGAGGTCAGGCTTGAGATTGTCCTTATGAGGACATCCATCCCCAGCAGAAGGACAGAGAAGGAGAAAGCCTCTGGAAAAATCAGGATGAGTCAAGAGGCGGTGCTAGGAGAACAACTGCATAACTGCAGTATTTTGATATTTTATTAGAAGATTCACAAACCACTTTTTCAGTCTATAAAGAAGAGATATTGTACTGTTCTAAAACGTGTCAGAGTTATAATTTAGAGGTTAATGAGATCCTGATTTATTGTTTTTTGTCAAGCAACCACTTTAAGTTAAGGAGTGAATTAGTCCCAACTGAACATGTTCTAAAAATGAAAAGTAATCAAGTAGCAACTTTTTGAATTAAAATTCCATGAGGATTAACATAAACTCACCCTAGCCTTAATTTTTTCTCTTCTTTATTTCTTCGGCTCTTCCTTAAAATTTAATAAGAAGAAAGTACTATCTTTGAAGCTCTTTGTAAAAAAAAAAAAAAAAAAAGAGAGAGAGAGAGAGCAAGCAAGCGAGAGAAATGTTTTTACAGCACATGATCTGTAATGAATGATTAAGTAAAACACTTTGTGTAAAATTATGATGTTAATAATGAATCTGTCCCCTTTATGCATTATATATTCCCAGTGCTGCTAGGGTTGGTATTGATAAAATGGAGCAACAACTGAGTTTGTGTGACAATTTTATTTTTAGAAATCCTTCTTTGAAAGAACAAATTTCCTAGATGCTGCTGCTCCTGTAATTATGTAGAAAACCAATCACTCATTATAGTTAGGATACATTATCTTCTAGACAGATGAGGCTAAATAAGCAACACATTAATAATTCATACTGCAGTTCATTATGCATGTGTATGCATGCTTTGTAGCTGAAATAAACACCTCGTCAACCTGATGCCAACCGTTAAACAATAGTTCTGTGTTATTGCAGCCACATTCAAGTTTACGCTTGTTAAGCTGCTACTTGGATTATTTTATCAAGCATTCATTTATTTGTGGTCCCCTACTGCACAGAACAGATTTTGGAAGCTCCTTTTTTAAGTTAATGACTTGAGCAATGGGTGTTATTAATTCTCCGAATATTATCAACATGATTAATTTTCAGGCAGAGATGTATTATATAACGATTGCAATTCTGTCCACTTAAATGCATCAGTGTCAAAACAAATATCACGGTGGGGGAAATACTGTGCATTGCATGCTTCAAGATGTAGCATCCCCGGTCTAAGAACGAGGAACCCAGTTGTGTAAACGCCACCAGCCTCAAGCCCCAGTTCAGGAAAGTAGCTGCAGCCAGGACAGGACTTATACTATATCAGGGGTGTCCAAACTTTTTTCAAAGAGGGCCAGATTTGATGAAGTGAACATGCGTGAGGGCCGACCATTTTGCCTGACATTCTTTGAACCATTAAAATTAAATGCAAATTAACTATGTTATGCAAAGTTTATTGCAAACGGCATACTTTTCATTTCGTCACATGGATGACAAATCTAAACAGGTGTTAAATCACTCTGCCTTTCATATCTGAAGGCCAGATGAAAAAAAAAATCCAGGAAGCTGAAATATATGTCAGGAACATTGTAAAGTACATTACATATTATTGGTAATAAAGGTTGTCTGTCAACTTTTAAGTTCAAAAAATATGAACAGGAACATAACACCAAGTATACATGTTGTGTCCAAATATATTTATAACTGATTTAGACCAACTGACTTTAACTGAGATTTTACAATGTATTCATCTCAATACATATGGATTCATTGGGGGCCATAAAAGATAGATATTGCCAAATTACCCGTCAAGCCCCAGTTCAGGAAAGTAGCTGCAGCCAGGACAGGACTTATACTATATGGAGATATATGTATATCAAGGTGGAAGGGACCTTGAGAGGTCATCGGGAGATATACGTATATCAAGGTGGAAGGGACCTTGAGAGGTCATGGAGTCCAGTCCCCTGCCCTCACAGCAGGACCAAGCCCCATCCCTAATAGATTTGCCCCAGATCCCTAAATGGCCCCCTCAAGGACTGAGCTCACAAGCCTGGGTTTAGCAGGCCAGTGCTCAAACCACTGAGCTATCCCTGCCCCCCAAGCATGTGCTCAAATGTGTTGCTGAATCTCAGCCCTAGAACTACCTCCCTGGATGTGAAGAGCTACTGGTGTAGTGTAAGCACGATCCTTTCTAGTAAGCCTGGTAGGACTGGGCCTGTTTAGGTGCCTAACTTCTGCTTAGTGCATTGGAAATTGGACACTTAAATACCTTTGAGGATCTGGACCGTGCTCACTTTAAACTGCCCAGGAAAAATGCTAGTCATGACAAATGGTATTTAAGATTTTCTGTATTTAGCACCTACAGTGACCCGGTGCTGCTCGGCTCCTTAGCTGTGATAAGTATTTTTTTTCCTAAAATAAAAGAACAAATGTTACGCTTTATTTAAATTATGATGATTGTATGGGACAGAGGGTTGAGTGGTGTATGAGCGGGGGGAGCAGGAGTCAGGACAATTGTTGGGGGCTCAGGGCAAGGAGTGGTGGGTGCAGGAGTCAGGGCAGGTGGTGGTAGGTGTGGGAGATCTCAGGGGAGGGGCTAGGGTGAAGAAGTTAAGGCAGAGCGTGGGAGGGCAGGAGTTAGAGCAGGGGTCTAGAAGATGTGGAGGGGCTCAGGGCAGAGAGGTGGGTTTGAGGGAGGCTTAGGGCATTGAATGGTCCGTGCAGGAGTCAGGGCAGGAGGTTGGTTGGGGGCAGGACCTCAGGGCAGGGGTTTGGTTGTGTGGGGGGCTGTGGCCTGAGGATGGGGGTGCAGGAGGGAGGGCAGGATCTGGGAGGGTTGGGGGTTGAGGACAGAAGGTGGAACATGCAGGGTGGGGGCAGATGGGAGGAGGAGGAGGATGCATGGCTGGGTATGTGATAGGGCTTAGGGTAAGGGTGGGGGCAGCTGGGAGGGGGCTAGGAGATATGGGGGGCTTACTGGGGCCTCCTACAGTGACAATGGTGTTGCTGGTCTGAGGGTGAAAGGCAGGGCTCAGCCCCACCATCCCCTTTGGGGCCTTGCATCCCCTCCATGGGCAGTGGGGGGTGGCTGTGGGTTCTGGCTCCAGCATCTTCTCCTAGGTGGGGAGATGGGCTCTTCTTTGGTGGGGGATGGGACAGGCCGGGGCTCCTCCCCCCCCCAGACTAGGGTTCCCAGCTCCCCCAGTGTCTGCTGAGGGAATTGCGGGGGAGGGCTAAGCTGCAGTTCCCAGCTGTGGCCCATGCTCCGGGTGTGGGGAGCCAAGATGAGCCGTGGTTCCCAGCCCTGGCCTATGTTCCGGAGGGAGGGGGTCAGGTTGGGCCACGGCACCCAGACACCCCCCACCTGTCCTCCATGGCCCGGCTGGTTCCCCAGGCCCTGGCTTGAGGTGGAGGGACACCTTGCCTTTGCCTTACCCATGCTGTGGGGTGCCTTTCCCCACTCCAGCCTGAGGTGGGGGGGGGGCGTGACCAGGCCACCTTTCCTGACCTTGGCTTCATTCAGGGTGTGGGGCTGGGCCCAGGGCAGGGCTGCACTCTCCAGCATGAGCTAGTGGGCTGAGGCCAGGGCCCAGGCTGGGGTTGGGACCACGGCTGGGTCATGTTCCCCAGCTCTGGCATGAGTTAGGTGGCTGGGGCCAGGGCTGGGTCATGTTCCCCGGCTCTGGCATGAGTTAGGGGGCTGGGGCTGGGCCACAGAGCCCTCAAATTGCTTCATAAACTAGATCCTCCAACGTCCACTGACTTGAGTGGTGTAAATCGACTTTACTAGGGCGATGTTGATTTGCATTAGATGAGGATTTATCCCACTGAGTTGAGTGTCTTGCAGGATCGTGTCCTAAAGACCTGATTTCAGTTATGCGAAAGCCCCTTTGTATTGCTCTGGCTAGTGATGCAGGATGGCCACAGTGCAAATGGGAATCCCTCTTCAAAGCAGCATAAACCTTGAAGAGCTTTTGGTCATAAACAAGATTTGGCTCGCAGCATTACTAAAACCCCCAACTCCAAGCAGAGCTATCCGAGGGATGCTTTGCCATCCACCGCAAACTGATCCCACAGAGCTCATCCACAGCTGTTTTAATGAGGAGATAGATGTGCCCATCTCAGGGCCTAATTTCCCCGGGGCTGCTGTAATTTTCATACTAAGACACACTTAAGAGGAGACGTGCCGTGCTATAACATGTTCTGCAATGACCAGAGTTCATAGAGCATTTCAATCGCCTACATGCCGATAGCTCTGGCTTCTGCTTTTTTTTATGTGAGAAACCATAATATGGCAGATATGATACTGACAGATTGGACAGTGCCCTATCTGAACCACATGTTGACTGATTTACTACTCCTTTGATGATTGTTGCTGGAGGTACTGAAGAACCATGCCATCCGATTTAAGAGAGGTTGGTCATGTCCTGCTTTAGGATCCTATTACTCAAAGAATAAACATATATTGATTGCAAGACCCTTAACTGTTTGTTCCTAAGTTTCAGTGAGTCAAAAAGAAATAAGGAGCAGAAACTGGCATTTGCTTGGTAATATCAAGACATCTTTCACCCAAATGGTGCTCAGAACTTAGGCATTCGTCTTCTTTGTTTTGTTGTTTTATGGTGTCCAGATTCCTCAGAACTGTCCTTTAGGCGTCAACTCATTGCCAGAAAAGAAGGCTCTCTCATAGGATTTGTGCTGTCTCATTGGCAAAACTTTTCAGATTTATAATACTCTCTAATAACAAAAACCATACTGCATTTTATGTAGTGCAATATAAATACTTGAGGCCACACTTAAAAATGGCCTCTACGTTTTCAAACCCAAACTCTTAACAAATGCAGATTGGGGGTGAGGTATCAAGTTATGAGATTTACATAAAGAGAGAGCCACTGTGCATGCAAATGGAGTGGCTGTATGTGCAGACCTGGAAAGAGGCCAGCTGTAAATTTGGCTCTGGGGAATCTATATGCCACTCTCTGATCATAGCTCAAGAAACTCCATTGACTGTCGCACTGGAATTTCCATTAGTCTCAATAGCAGATGAGCATATAACTTGAAAACAGTATAGGTATCCACACAGTGTGGAGTTTCTGCTCTCAGCTAGAGCAGTGCAAATCTGGAGTGGTTTTCTCTTGTCAAAATCTGCTTCCGTCATCAGTGAAGTAATTAAAACCTCTACAGATGCTTCACAAAGAGCATCTCAGGGGAGTCATTCCAGCTTTACACCAATATAGATGAGAGCAGAATCTGACCTATAGACAACTACACTGCTTCACAATTATATGTTCAAGTGACATTGATAAGAAGGAGAAAAACACTGCAAATAGGAATGGAGTTACTCCAGATTTACCCCCAATGCAGCTAACAGCGAAAGTCCTTTACATTTAAATAATAAATTGAAGGTGCTTGATAGGAAATGAACAATCACATACTGTTGTTGCTTTTTCCAGCTTTCTCCAGTAAGCAGCCGCTACGCAGTAATGAGCAGTCAGCTGAGGCACTCCAATCTTTCAGTAATTTACTATAGTGTTCTCCTCCAGATATGTAAGGCTCATGGCATTGGATTTGATGTCCAGGTAGGAAAGAAGAAAAAATGTATATAGAAAAGTGTAATAGTCACTCTGCCTAACTTCTGTCTGAAAACTGTAAACCCTCTGAAATCACATAGCATCATGCCATGTGCGTTAGTTCTGTTCTGTGGACAAAATGCATGATGAAATTGTCCTAATTGCTTGTTTGTGCCAAGGGTGGATCTGCTAATACTTGAATACATAACGTGTTTTAACAGATACACTGAGACTAATGTGTGAAAGCAAAATTAGAAAGGATTCTTTAGCAGGCCCCTGGTTCAGCAACAGGTTTCCTGTTTGTTTCCTTTAAATTAAGTTTATTTAGTTGACTCCTTCATGGGCAACTGTCCCGAGAATCGGTGTGAGTAGGCTTAAAAGTGGAGGTTGTGCTATGAAAGGTGAACAGGAGATTGAGAGCCATCAGGTGGTAACAGAGAACAGAAGGGTGAATGGAGGAGGCAAAGAAACAGATTTCACTGGAGAAGGAAGAGGTAGAGGATTGTGAATGAGCAAGAGAAGAGAGCAATGAGAAAGTAATAGAGGAATGTGGGGGAAAAAAGGGTAGGAGATGATATGTAAAGAGGGCAGAAGTCTTCCACATAGTGACTCAGCAAAGACTTCACACTCCCCTACTCACTTTTCATAACCGGAGATATTTCTCACATTTCCAAATGATATATCAGGTGCTTAGCACCTCTGAAAATCCAACCCTGTAAATTTTGCCACCAATTCCACTGAAACAAGGATCTGGCTCATAATGAATTGGAACATATGAGAACTAAAAAACTTTCAATTTCTCTCAGTCTAACAGAATGCAATACTCTTCAATACTCTTATGGTCCTTTTTTATCTTCATGAATTAAAGTGTGCAGAAATAATTTTTTAAAAGATTCGTTACTATCCACCATTGTAGAAGGCACAAAATATTTGTTTCTGAATAGACTCTGAAGTGTGTATAGTTAGATTTACATAAAATTATTATATTGTATTCTCCAGTACAAATGACTGAAGATACATAGCTTCATAATCCATTACATATACTTTAAAACTGTCTTTTATTTGAAAACATAATTTTGTACAATACATTTTAGCATCTCTTACTGTAAATATCAGTATATTCAGTTTTAAGCAACAGTTAAAATAACTTTTTTCAATATAACAGGAAAAACAAGGAACAATTTTTATACTGTACGAAGATCACAAGCGGTACAGATTGGGAATAATGTAAGTACATAGTCTAAGTTAAATAACCAGATAAACAAGAAAACAGTTATTTGAGCTGAAGAAGATGAAATACAAAGTATTACCGTCATGGATTTTAATAAAACTTGATTTACTGGAAGACCATCTGGCAATTCAGTAATTGTCAGCCTCTAGTTATGATGTGATGGCTTCCAGTAATGTTTCTATGGAACTAGACAGAAGTTAGCAAGAAATTCAACAGAAAGGAAGGTGTAGAGGATCAAGGGTAAAAATTTCAAAAGTGACTTGATATGTAGCAAACATAGTCTCCTAAGTGCTTTTGAAAATGGAACTTTGCCATTTCTGAAATTTTAATCCCTAAATTTGTGGTGTTTCCACTCTACTGAACCTTGCACTTTTTTTCCTACCCCTCTTAGAATCTTGAAATCCCAAACACTTCCTAATGTTTAACTCATCCCACCTTACTCATCCCCGCCTGCAGTTCTCATCTTACTAAATGAATCTGACTATCAGCAGCAGCTTCTGAGGCCTTGTCTACAGTTACCGAGAGATTGGCACTGCAGGGATTGATCAACTGCTGATTGCGCTCTCATCAGTTCCGGTGCTCCATCAGATCTAGACACATAAGTGGAGTCGACAGCAGAGTTTCTCCCGTCGACCCCCTGCAGTGGAGATCCTGTGTTAACTCCATCTAAGGTACGTTGACTCCAGCTATGCTATTCACATGGCTGGAGTTGCGTACCTTAGTTTGACATTGCTCCTTAGTGTAGACATGGCCTTAGGTGTGCAGGCGGGGGAGTGGCTGAACGGGATGCACCTGAACATTGAACTTCAAGGAGCCAGTGCCACTAGTCATAAGTGCCACTAACCAAAGGAATTGTGGGTGGCAATTAGAGATGTTAAATTATGAGTAATCAGCTAATTGAGTTGTCGACGGAATTTCCATCGACGACTTGATTTGTCGATAAGGGGGCAAACTGCAGAGCTATAGCATGGTTAGCTCCTAGCCCAGGCTAGGCTATTAATACATTTAAAAAGGAGAGGCATAGCATCTGGGACCGGGCGCGAGCAGGGAATCAGCGAATTCCTGGCTTGTGTCAGTTCCCTGCTACGACTTTTCCTGTCTGCCCCTCCCCCCCAAGACAGTGCTGGGGGGAACCTGCTTTTAAGCCAGCTCCCCTCCCCACCTCTCTCTGATAGAGGCAGCAAGAGGGGGGGAAGTGGCTATTAAAGTCGCTACTCAACTACCAGATAATCATATCGACTAGTCGCTTACATCCCTAGTGGCAATGGCCACACTTCTCACACTGACCCACAGATCTAGCCAGCCATGCGGGAGAATGTGTGCTATAATCTACTAAGAACTGTAGCATTGGCCACGTGAATCTTTGTATTACTTGTATAAGTATTAATCCATAAAGTGTATGGATGCTTTGTTATGGAACTCAAACAGCTTAATCCCAGAATTAACTAGGATACGCCCAAATATTTTTGCCAGCCTGGAGAGTGTCTGTTATTCATGCCCTTAGTTATGCCCTGAGGAATCTCAAAACTTTGTTCCGTATTTCTTATCCCTCAAACAATACTGCAAAATACATATCAGACACCCATTTTAATTTGGCAACTAAGATCCAAAAATGTAACTATGTGGTTCAGGTTCTAACATATTTTAAATAGTTCAGCCATATAATTCATCCTGCATTTTACTGCGCTATCCTTATGTGCATTGCAACTGACGCGCTAGATGAGGCATATTCCCACTCCATGAAATATACTATAGTGAAATCCTAGATGTACTATCAGTGGTTTAAAGCTCCAAGCACTAGTACTAATATTTCTGAGTACAATGCAATAGTATAAGTAATACTGATGCAGTTCAAGTGTTTGTGTACCACAAAAAAAAGTGTTATGCGTGAATTGTGTTTGAATTAGCAACAGTTCTTTTAAACTAATTTAAATGTTAAAAAATATGCTAATGCCAATGTCCTAACTTGGAATAGCTGAACCTACTGCTAAGTTGATTAATAAAAATTATTTATTACACAAATCCTTTCTGTTGACAAGTTAAAATGGAGCCTCATCTCTCAGATCTCCCTGAAGATTGTCACCTTGTGAGATTGAAAATACTCATTAAATTCCATCACCAGACAGGCACAAATGAGAGGCCGATTGTTTTTAAGCATGTGAAGGGAATCGTTGGTAAACTCATTTGTTTGGCTATCATTAACAGAACAATCGGAGATGATCTCCAGGGGGTCCTCATGACCTTTGCTCACAATCTCTTCATCATCCATCAAGAAATATCAGCACCTAATATGCAAGGCGAGACCAATTTTAAGGTGAGGTGTTAATTAACTAACGATCCTGGTTAATTTCTTTACCAGGGCTGAAAATACCTCATGCTGTATTGTAAACAAGTGCTAAACCATTCCTTTTTCATTGTTAGCAGTACGTATTTCACAGTGTGGAGGTCAATATCGTAAGTCTCCAATGAACCTGTTAGTTAAATTTAATAGTTTGAAACTTTTTCTTTGAAAACAAATATGCATTAACTTGGAACCATTGGAAACCAAATCCCCAAAGCATCTGAGTTTCTAATGTCAGAGGCAAAAGAAGGAACTTTAGGGAATATCTTTAGGGAATTCTGTCACAATTGTCTCTTGTTTTCAAAGGGATACCATCAAGATAAAAATCTTAAATAAAAAAATGAAGTTCCTTATTTTACTATTAACCATTTAAAATGTTAATATCAAATTTAAAACTAAATTTAAAACATGCAACTCATTCTTCACCACTCAATCGATTTACATGTCACCCTAAACAATGAAACAGATTAGTCAGTTTCATTTTTGTTTCCTTTGCATCCCTATTTTTGGGGTGACCAATCCACACTGATCTCACCTTTTATTTGTGGACCCAGGGCAACTGCACTGCACTGCAGATTTCTACTCTGGGAGCTTTCCTCGGCTAGCCCTTACACGCCAGCAAAGCTGGTGAAAAGAGAACATTGGGCAATAATGAATCCAGCTCTGTCCAATAGTAATCTTTTGCTGAAACAGGCCATAAGAAAGTACAGAGCAACTAGTTTATAGTGGAAATAATGGCTTATTATAAAGTAAAGAACATCAGCAAATGTTCCTTTGCTAACCTGTAAGACCTACAGAAGATTTTAACACTTAGGTTGTGTTTAAACTACAGGGTTTTGTCGACAAAACTGTACCTGCATCTGTAGTACTGCCAAGTCCTGTTGACAGTAGGTCGACAGAACGCAGCAGTTTTGTCAACAGCGGTAAACCTCGTTTTATGAGGAATTACTCCTTGGTCGACACAGTTCTGTGAACGTGGGGAAGAATTTATGTCGACAATAAAGGCCTCCAGGAAGAAGCCCTGGTGGATAGTCCTGCCACAGCTTTTAACTCTATTGTTCCTGCCTGTAGCCATCTTTAAAAGGCACAGGCACCCATGATTAGATTCTGGCAGCAAGCCAGTTCCAGCCAGGACCCTGACTGTGCAGCTCTTCCTGGTAGGGGGCACTCGGAGCCATGTCCCAGGGACAAGCCCCCCAAGACCCCACTGGTCCTTCCAGGGACACATCCCCGCAGGAAGCCAGGGGCACCAAACGCCAGGCACCCTCCTGGTCTGGGCCCGAGATAAAAGCCCTCTTGGAGCTTTGGTCCGAGGAGGAGGCTCTTCAAGCCCCACAGTCCAGGTGGAGGAACGCTGACATCTATGCCAGAATGGCGGATGGCCTGGCAAGGAAAAGCCAGCACCCCCACTCCTTAGACCAGCTCAGAGCCAAGGTGGAGCTGCGGCAGGGGTACGTTAGGGCCCGTGAGCGCGGCTCCCGCTCTGGGGAAACGGCACACTATTGTGTCTATTACGAGGACCTGGACCGGATCGTGGGTGCAGGGGAACTCCTGCCTCCCGAGAGCGTTGTGGAGTCAGGCTTAGAGACCCCTGTGCAGCAGCAGCCGCAACTCCAGGGTTAGACCCCAGCAGATGACCAACAGCTCCAAGAGGAGGAGGAAGACGACACTACCAGGAGCACAGTGACCCTGACCCAGGAGCCAGATGTCCAGACTCAGGAGGCCTCCCAGAAAACTTCGGACACCAGGGAGGGAACAGCAGGTGAGTGCTGTGAGGGTCCACCCCACACAGAGCAGGGCAGGTGGGAGCAAAGTTGATGGTGCAGTGCTGTGACATCATGCTGATCACAGTCTGGGGGGGGCACACATGGCCAACCTCAGGGAGGGCCGTCCTACTCCTGCACCCGCATGGCTGCGAGGCACCACCCGCTCCTGCAGGCAGTGATGCCAGGTGCAGGCATGGGTTGGGGATGTTGGGATTGCCACAGAGCTTCAGGCCTCTCAGCAACCTGCGGGAACCCCAACTGTGGCCTGACACTTGGCTGTGCTGCTTGGTCCTAGGGTGTGTGTGGGGGGCAGGATGGTGGCCTGCACACCTTCTGGGTTCCAGGGAGGCCGTGGCTGCTGGCCAGGCCACACCATGCCTTACTGAGACACACACGAGCATCCTCTGACCCTAGGACAGGCACTGACTGCTGAGAAGGAGGAGGGCAGGCCCTCTCAGGGAAAGTGTGAGCATGCATGACTGACGACTTTTCTCTCTTGTCCTCCACAGCTGGACCCGCTGACCAGGAGGGGAGTGCCACACCTGCCCCACCACCTAGGTGGCTACAGGGAACTCGTCGGGACTGGTGCCCGTATTTGGACCTGGTGTGCCAGCACACCTCGGTCCTGCAAAGGATGCAGGACGCAATGAACCAGAGAATAGAGGCAGAGGCAGCATGGCACAGGCGCTTGCTGGACAAGTTTGTCCAGCAGCACACTGAGATTTGTGCTGCTATCCGGGAGGCCGTGGCCTTCCCCGGTCCTGTTCCTGGTCCTCCTGCTCAGCCTGCCTCTCCCCCAGCCCCAGGTACAGCCCCACCTCCTGCCCAGCCCCCATGCATGGCCGTCTGCGAGAAGGCCTCCGCAGCCAAAGTGCCAGGGGCTTTTCATCAAGGCAGCACCCTCAGGCCTGAGCCTCCTTCCCCCCTTCCAGGCTGACATTCCCCCTTCCTACCTGTGAGAGTCACTGAAGGGAAGCACTATACTTTGTTTACAAACACTTTATTTTTCTGAACAAGAGAGTATTTTATTTTTTCAAAAAACCAACAGTGAAATAAACTGTAAATATTTTTTCACCAACACCTGTCTCTGTTGTCAGTGTGTGATGAATGCGTACAATGTGTGAATGTGGGGCCAGGAGGGCTTTTGGGCATGCGGCAATCCCACAATTGGAAGGCCCTGGGGAAAATCATCAGGCTCCTTGGGAGAATTGCTCCCTCAGGGCTTCTCGAATGCGCAATCCTAGCTGGTGGGCTTGCCGGATGGCAGCTGTCCGGGGCTGCTCAAAGTGCCTCCCCTCCACATCAGCCCGTGTCCCCCACACAGGGAAGAAGGCCTCCCCTTTCCTCTCCACTAGATTATGCAGCACACAGCATGCAGCTACCACATTGGGGATGTTGTGTTCCCCCATGTCCAGCCGAATGAGCAGGCATCTAAATCTGCCCTTCAGATGGCCAAAGGCGCACTCCACCTGGAAGCGAGCCCAATTCAGGCGGGAGTTAGAGTTCCCTGCTCGCATCCAGGTGTCGTGAACAGCTTCATGAGCCAGGCATAAGGGGGTTCGCTGTGTCGGCCATGATGCACGTAGGCATCTGCACATCCCCGACTGCATAGTTCCTCTTCGGAAATAATGCCCCAGCCTGTGGTACAGGTATGAGTTCCGGTGGTATATGCGGGCATCGTGTGCCTGGCCTGACCACCTGACATAAATGTCTGTGAATTGTCCCTGGTGGTCGACCAGGGCCTGCAGCACCATTGAAAAGTAGCCCTTTCTATTAATATACTGTGCTGCTTGATGGGGTAGTGCACGGATCGGGATGTGAGTCCCGTCGAGTGCTCCACCACAGATCAGAAAATCCAGCCCACTGGTGCATTCTGTTAAATAACACAGGTTACTTCTGGGAGGAAAAATGCAAACAGCTGAAAAAAATGTTGGGGACTTCATTTCAGTATAACATCCATGAAATAACTTGCACTCTTTCAATCTATTACAGATAGCAGTTCAAGATATTGAAGCAATTCTGGGAATTACAGCAGAAAACAAACTGAAATTTGAAGAGGAGGAATCCTCCAAACATGATGCTCCCCAAAAGTAGTTGACTGAAATTTTAAAACTTTTCTTTAAGCCTTTTGGAATAACTCAGGAATCCAGGAAAGAAATAATTTGTGTCTATTCATAACTGAATTAATATTAGTTTAGACTAGACATTTTAATGATCACTGAGTGAGCTTAAATTATTAGTAAAACAGTAACTAAAATATCCTTGGTTATGCAAAAGGAAATCTTGGCGAACAACAGAGGAACAAAATCAACATTGCCCATTTTAACGTACATGTCTACTAATGTTATATTATGAATCCTGGAGTACAGCATGGATTTCTCAAATTCTATTCATAGAGTTGTAGTTTAAAAAGTCAGATGGCACCATAATGATCTTCTAGTCTGACCTGCGTAGCATAGACCATGGAATTTCACCAAATGATTAGGCATCTCTTTTAGACCTGAACTGTCTTGATGTAGAGACTGCAAGTGGCAAAGAATCCACCACATGCCTCAGTAAATTACTCCAACAGTTAATGATCCCCACTGTTAAAAATCTGTGTCTTATTTCTAGTCTGAATCTATCAGCTTCAGCTTTCAGCGGTGGGCTCTTGTTATGGCCTGCAAAATTAAAGAGTACTCTGCTGTGAGAATTCTCTCCATGGAGAAAGTTATAAACTGCATTCAAGACCTATCTTAAATTTCTTTTGCATAAACTCAATAGATTGGGCTTCTTCAATCTCCCACTGCAAGGTTGGTTCTCTGGCCCTCAGTTCTATTTTGTAACTCTTTTCTGAACCCTTTCTAATTCCTCAACATCTTTTTTGAAGTTTGGATATGAGATCCAGACACAGTATTCTAATAATAATCTTATTAATGCTATATACAGTGGTCATATCACTTTCTTACCTATATTTCTACTTATACATACATCCAAGGGTCTCGTCTATACTCTAGCCACCACATTACACTAGGAGCTCATGTTCAGTTGGGTTATCCATCATGACCCCGAAGTCCCTTTCAGAGTTACTGCTTTCCAAAATAAGTCGCCCATCCTGGGAGCATTTCCTAGACAAAATATCTTACATTTGGCTACACTGAAATGCATGTTCAGGTGGGCCCATTTTATTGAGAGACCCCAGTTGCTCGGTAATGCTAACCATCTTGTATTGCTGTTTAACACTCCACCAGTTTTTGCATCCACTGCTGATTTAACCAGCAGTGATTTTATACTTTGTTCCAGATCATAGAAAATTATGATATACAGCATTGGTCCAAGAACTGATCCCACTATAAACAACCCCACTGGATTCCTCATTTACAATTGCTTTTTTATAGCAGTCAGCTAGTTTTGAACCTTTCTAATATGTTCTACATTGATTTTGTAATAATGCTAACTTCTTAATCAAAATTGTGTGGTATTAACTTAAATGCTATGTAGCAATCTACGTATATTACACAAGCACAGTTACCTTTGTCAACCAAATTTGTGATCTCATAAAAAAATTGTTTGACAAGATCTTATCTCCATAAAACCATGTTGATTATTTACATATGCTACCATCTTTTAATTCTTTATTGACTGTATCCCGTATCAGCCTTTCAGTGAGTTTGCCCAGGATCCATGTCAAGCTAACTATAACCCAGGTCAGTACATATAACCTTTTAAAATATCAACACCTTCACTTTTTTCAGCCTTCTGGAATTTCTTTGGCTTTCCAGATTTGTTAAATTACAACGTTTCCTTCTCTTTCTTTTGGAGAGAGAATCTTTTGCTGCCCCCATTTGTACATTGTGAAAATAAGGTTTTGAACACTGAGAAATTGTTTGTGTAAGTAATTTATATATAGATGCTAAAAGGTCACTTTTTCTTTCCTATGTGTTTCTTAGCATCAGATTACGTGCCGTTTGCTGTCTTCAGAGCAGACGGGCAATGGACGGGGAAAACCTGTCTCCCTATCCAAGGCTGTAATATTTGCCTTGCTGGCAGATTATGCTCTTGTTTTAAAAGTTAGTTTATTTTCTCCTGCAGGTTGACTGTATTATCTCCTGAAAATGCCAAGTCCTACCACCCTAAAAGTTAAAAATCTCAAATTGAAAAAATTCCCCATGGAGTTACTCTGAATAGTGCCTGCCTTTTTCAAAGACCGGTTTAGCTGAAATACTGCAGTGCTATTCATGAGCCACAGATCGGCTAACTCAGTACGTAAACTTCTGATCTGCCTTTACGTTCTCCACAGTGATTGAAGAAATACAAATAGAAGTGAGAACCTTTATATGATTTGTTGATTTATTCTTCAAATAAAATATAAATGTATGTATTTTAAACTTGTCCAGGTCTTTTTGTTGTGTAATCTCAGTAAATTCTCCATTCTGGAGAAACCACCAGCAGGCTTTTCTACTGTGGAATTCAGCCAACAATCATCCTTTCTACAAGCCTTTGTTTTGCTGCAGTTGGAAGAGAGATCGTCAGGATCCTTGCCTCTGAAAGATGCAGTAGAGATCTTGCACTTGCAAGAAGTCCATTGCCAAAAGACTTAACTACTAAACAGCATTATTAATTAATTTTAAAACAAAGACAATGGATATAGTCACTTTTTGTTCTCTCACTGAGGTGCTGAAAATAAGTAAACTACCTTTCTGACTATGCAACCAAGATACATGCTATATTCTACCCTAACCTTAACAAGAGACTTCCTGGATTTCTGACCTAACCCTAGCTCTCCACTGGTCTTTACCAACAGAGGGGGGGAAATCACTTTGCAGATATCAACTTGGGAATTAACTAGTTCCCAAGGTCTGAGAGGCTCATTAGTTCACTGTCCTAAGGCTCAAGAAGAATCAAGCCCTGATTCATGCCAGAACAACATAAGGTCTGAGAGGCTCATTAGTTCACTGGCACTCAGTAGACTGCAGTGTCCTAGGAGTAAATGAAATCCTCTTTGTTCTGTTCTGACAAAAGAAAACTGTACCTGTTTTTGCTCAGCACAAGCGATCTGAAAGTTCCCACGGTGAGAGTTATTTCTCAGCGTGTACAAGTGTGAAATGTATTTGGAGGGAAAAGTTTTTAATTACTATTAGCACTTCTGAGCTTCGAGTTGATGGCAGGATTGAAATTGCTTTACTATCTCTCACATTCAACTCTCATGCTGCTGGTGCCAAAATGTCAATTCCCAGTAAAGTAAAACTCCAATTGTCCGGCATCCAGTGGTCCGGCACTCCTGATAGTCCGGCACCAACTGGAACCCGGAAGTGCTCCGGCCAGCCAAACAATTGGAGCTGCTCTTTCCCCGGCTTCCCCAAGTCCGCTGCTGGTCAGTTTCAGCAGCGGTGGACTTGGGGAAGCCCTGGGGCAGAGCATCCCAGCGGCTCTGCCCCCGGCTTCCCCAAGTCCACTGCTGTTGAAACTGACCAGCGGTGGACTTGGGGAAGCTGAGGGCAGAGCCGCTGGGGTGCTACCGCGTTGGTCCCGCAGCGCCGCCCTCTCCCACGCTGTGCAGTTCCTTGCTGACCCTCTCCCCCCCACCCAGACCTCTCATAGCTCCCCTTCCGGTACTCCGGCATATCTGATAATCCCCCTGGGTCCTAAAGGTGCCGGATTATTGGAAGATTACTGTAATATGGCTGTTAAACTAAAATGCCAATTTTCAATTGAAAAAAATAATTTCCAAATATATATATTTCAGTATTATGTACTCATGCTCTCACCACTACATTCTCTTCTCTTTTGCCAGAGGAAAATAGGATCCCTTGAATAGACATATCTTAAATTTGTGGAGCCAGGATGATCCAGATCTAGGGTGGCAGGACAAATAGAATGTGGGATGGGGCTCACATCTGGACAGATATCAGTAGCAAAGAAATGGTTCAGGGTCAGTTACTTTTCAGAAGCTGCAACAAGATACAACAGTGGAAGGGTAGTTGGGCTCCACAGCGGCTCTGCAGTCCTCCCCACATTATCAACTAGTTGATGGAAATTCCTGATTAGCTGATTAAACACAATTTAACATCCATACTGTGGTTCAGTGTTCATCAGAAGACAACACAGGATTGTTTTAGAGACTAGGAGTTGCCCTTGGAGTTCAATTGCTGAAGGTATAGGTAGTTCAAATAAAGTTTGGAGCTTTTGATTGGTCAGTGCCACATAGTGAAGAAGAGTATGCTAATTTGACATGCCATTGCAGCCAATATAGTCCAATTCTATATTATGCCTTGTCCTAAGAGAAAATAAGGGACTGATCACAGAACTAAAAGTTAATGGTAGCTTAGATACAAGTGATAGTGATGATCACATTTACCTTGTGCTTCAGGCCTTAGAACATGCTGTGGTTTTCAGCACATTTTGGGCTACCCACATTCACTATGGCTCCAAACAAAGAATAAGGCTTTAATAGGGCCAATTTCATACAGATGAGAAGAAGAATTTAATCAGAAAAATATGACATCTGGGAATCTTTAAGAAAACGTCACTAGACATCCAAAAATTCACAATTCCACAACTGAGGAACAAGAAGACTGTGCTGGTAAAAAAATAAATAAATAAATAAAATCTTGTCCCACGGGAAAATGAAGTAAGAGAGAGATGGCAAAAAGGAAAAATGGATAGTAATGAATATAAATCAGAAGTTAGGAACTGTAAAAAAACTAATAAAGGAAGCCAAGGAATAGCTAGTAGATTTAAGGAAAATAAAACGGAATTTTTAAAAATATATAAGGAACTAAAGAAATCCTGACAATGTTATTGGTCCATACTAGATGGAAATGGTAAATGATGATAATGATGCAGAGACAGCAGAGATATTCAACAGCTTCAGATAACTTTAATCCAAGAGTCTTAAACGAACTGGTTGCAGAGATCACTGAACTATTAATATTGATATTTCAATAATTCTTAGAGCACTGGGGAAGTTCCAGAAGACTGGCAGTCTTTAAAGGAGTAAGTGGGGTGAGCCAGATAATTATAAGGCTCTTAGCCAGATTACAACCCTGGGCAAGATAATGGAGGGAGTGATCCAAGACTCTATTAATAATAAAGGAGGGTAAAATAATGCCAATCAAGAGGGGTTTATGGAAAATAGATCCTATCAAACTAACTTGATATTTTTTCCGATGAGCTTACAAGTTTGGTGGATAAAAGTAATAGTGTTGAAGTATACTCTTAAATTTCTATGGGTATTTGGTGGCACAGGGCATTTTAATTTGAAAAAATAGAATGATATAAAATCAACACCGCACACGTTAAACAGATTAAAACTAGCTAATGGAAAGATTTCAAATGGGGAACTGTCATTAAGCAGGTCGGCTTTCAGTGGGAATCCCAAGAGGTCCATTCTTGGTGCTATGCTTTGACTTGGAGGAAAACAAAATCATCCCTGAAAAAGTTTGCAGATGACACAAACATTGAGAGTAGTGGTAAATAATGAAGATAGGTCACTGATTCAGAGCACTTTGGATTCCTTGGTAAACTGAGTGCAAGCAAAATGTGTCTTAATATTGGTGTAAGTACATTTGGAAACAAAGAATGTACAGGACGGGGAACTGAAAGATTTGGGGGAGGGGGTCTTCGTGGATAAATATCTCCCAGTGTGATGCTATGGCCAAAAGAGCTAATGTGACAGTAGGATGCATACGCAGGAATTGTGAGCAGAAGCAGAGAGGTGATTTTTACCTCTGTATTTGACAATGGTGCAACCACTGCTGGAATACTGTGTCTAGTTCTGGTATGCCAAGAAGGGTTGTGATAAATTTGAGAGAAAAACCACGAGAATAATTAAAAGACAGGAAAACATACCATACGGTGAGACATTAAAGAAGCTCAATCTATTTAGCTTAATAACTAGAAGGTTAAGGGTAGACTTGATTAGAGTTTATTAGTTAGTACTTACATGGGGAACAAATATTTAATAATGGGCTCTTCTGTCTAACACAATCCAATGTCTCTAATTTAAAGCTGGACAAATTCAGACTGGAAATAAATCATATTTGTTTAACAATGAGCATAATTAAACAATGGAACAATTTAATAAGAATCATAGTAGATTCTCCATCAATGACCATTTTTAAATGTAGATTGGATGCTTTCTCAAAGCACATACTTTAGGAATGGTTTTGGGGAAGTTTTATGGCCTATGCTAGACAGTAGATCAAATTAGATTATCACAGTGAGCCCTTCTAGTATTAAAAATCATGCAAATTCAACAAGTGTTTCAAAACTTAAATATTTTAGTTGGAGGAATCTTATTGTGTATGGGACTGCTGGACAGAAGTGCCAACTAAACAGTATAATTCATGTGCTCACAGTTAGATATATGTTTTAAGTATTTTAATTTAATTCCTGAAAGATGATTTGATATGAAATGTGAAGTACTTGAAATAATGGTACTGAATGGAATAAACTGGGAGCTTACATTTTATTTAATAAGATCTAACCCCCCTTATTGATTACACTAACATATTGGTGTCTCTCCTTGGCAATAATTGTGGTCTAATGATTAGGGCAAGACACTGAGAGTTAGGACTTCAAAATTTGAATGCTGTCTCTACAGACTTGTATAACCTGGAACAAGTAATTTAAACTGTCTCCCTCAGACTTCAATTCTGCAGTAACATACACACACACCTAACTTTAAGGATGTAAAAGACTAGTCGACTATCTGATAAGCATTTGCTTATCGGATAGTATTTTGACTAGTCGATTTCCCCTCCCACCCGCCAGCAAGGAAGGGGAGGGGCGCCTGTGTGCCTTTCAAAGGGGCAGCCGTGGAGCCGGGATCAGTTGGGGACCTCCAGGGCTGCCCTTTTAAAATGCCGCCTCTGTGGCAATTCAAAGGGTCAGCTGCCATGGAGCCCAGGATCAACTGGGTTGTCCCTAGCTGACCCTGGGCTCCAGGGAAGTGCCACACAGAACCCGGGGTCAGCTGGGGAGTCCCCAGCTGAGCCCGGGCTCCCAGCGGCATGCAGTGTAGCATGAAGCCTGAAGTCAGCGGGGGACTGTAAGTCCCCCGCTGACCCCGGGCTCCATGGCTTTGAAATGCACAAGAGCCCCTGTTGGGGACTCCTATGCATTTCAAAGTAGGCACCCGTATAGCAGGGGCTCTTGTACATTTCAAAGGAGGAATGCGGAGGTGCCTATCGACTAGTCAATGGAAATTCCATCGACTAGTTGACTAGTCAATTAACCACATTCTGACATCCTTACCTAACTTTACATGTTATGAGTAATCCCATTATAACTGTGACAATTCATGATGTGTAAAGTTACCACATGTGTAAGTTTATGTA